ACAAGATAATAGTAGGAAAGGAGCGTTAAGAATAGTAGTACATAATTAAGCTCAAGCGCATCGGGATGATGTCACAGGAAGATAAAATGCACCCCGCGAGAGAAGGTATGGCGCACGCTTCTGTTTTGAGAAAGTAGGTAAATTGATATATGGGTATAATATACGCGTGGCGACATCGAGCAGTGACATTGCGCCGAGACACAGTCATCCTGTCATGGCAGCCATCATTGCGCTGCGCCGTGTAAACATCAGATGGTACGAGACCAGAGAGCAGAGCTCAAAAGCTTCGCTCCTATCCTTTCCTGGATCTTGGGCTCCTAGGCACTAGACCCTCACCCTGCGACTTCATCTTCTCCATCGCCTGCTGAACTTGATGCTGCCGCTTTGAAACGTGCTCGTGTCGCTTCTCAACTTCTGCCTCAAACTCCTGCGCCAGCTTGCGTTTCTTCTGCCTTGCCTCCTTTGTGCGCCGAATGATGTCTTGGAATCGATCGAGGAACCAGTCGCCAGCATCCTCCCATTCGGTTGTGGGCAGTGATTGGAAGAACTCGGATTGCTGAACGGCATCTGGGTTCTGCTGTACTAACTCTAGACGCTCGACCAGAGGCTTCTGAAGATCCTCCTTTGAGAGCACAGACGGCCGGGCACGGGGATCAGTATCGAAGCTTTCGTTCCTAAGCTGCTCGTAACTCATCCCGAACAGCGTCGTGTGGTCGTAGTCTTCATGGGAGACAACCTCAGGCTCCTCGATCGGCGCTTGTTCAACCGATTGCTGCTGCGCGACGGGTTCATGTATAGCCGGTACTAGAGGCTGGCGCTTTTGAGGCGCATGAGGCTCACTGGGCATGGCATTGTTCCTGGGTGGGGGCTGCGTCCTGGGGCCAGAAGACTGTCGAACAAGGTGTTGCTGAGATTTGCTGGGCTGTTTCTGGGTACTAGGTTGAGGACCCGAATACATCGGCAGGTTGGCAGTGCTATTATGCTTGTCCGGATTATAGGCTTGGTGTTGACTGGTGGGAAGGGCGAGGGCGTGATGCTGAACATTTTGACCTCCAGCCTGCCGGGAAGGCGCGGCAGTGCGAGACTGCTCGCGGAGCTGCGCACTATGCTGAAACAAACCCGATGCCTGCTGCGTATCCTGGCTGACAATTGGCATGTTTCGCCGTTGCTGTTGTTGCGGGACGTGGGACGCCGGCATGCGTGCAGCTTGCTTGTTTATGTTCTGACGTTGAGGCGGAGGGGAACTGGGAACAAACTCGTTTTGGTAGTTGGAGAGTGCTTCCGGCCCGCCTTCCCACTCGGATGGCTCACCATTGGTAGTCGGGGGATACGAGTCGCCTCGGACTGTTGGGAGTCCACCGCGCCCTGCCTGATGCAAAAAGGCGACTTGCTCATCGTAAGTAAGATGTGCTACTCCGCTCGCATGAATGAACTCTTGGTTCATTTGCACCATTTCGTCGTCATAATCTTCAGATCCGTCTTCCATATCCTCTAGCTCGTCTCCATTGTCATCGTCTTCTCCCTCCATCTCCGAAGTGCCACCAAGATTGACGACATGATCTTGCTGTTGGTAGTGCTGCTCTTTCTGTTGACTATCTTCGACCTGTACGACAGATGGGTTCACAGTAGTGTCAAGACTCTCTGCATCAGTGTCGTAGAGATCACGCTTCTGACTTGGACCCGGACCTGATTGTCGATTTTGGAGGGGCGGCTGTAAGACGGCGGAGCTGTTCTGGGTAATGTTGAGTCCGCGCGCCGGAATACCAGAAGTCGCTTGAGGTTGCTGAACGGGATGTCCGTTTCTTATTGATACCCTCGCGTTGGCTGCATTGGCTTGGCGGTCGGGCTTGCTTTGAGGCTGACCAGCGGCAGGACTGCCGGTTCTCTGACGAGCGACAAAGCCTTGCATCGTGGGTAAAGAGAGAGCCACACTCACTCTATTACCTAGATATTTGTCGACGATCAGGTGAAGTTGAGGTTTGCGAGGTGAGTTGAGAAAGTGAGTGCTGAGGCTTGAATGGGAAAGCGCGTCTCTGATGATGCTCTAACTTCATCCGGACAAGCCTCGGCCCCGCCAAAGTGAGCCTAGCACCGCGATGACGATATCTTATCTCCGAGTCGCGGTGTTGCTCCCTTCGCCCATGTGTGTAGACTCGTGCCCCACGAGGTTTGACATTCTACGTTACAACCTGACATACATACACTCGCATCTGACGTCATGGGTGAATGCTATCTCTACAGGCTCCCCAATGAGGCACGCTTTCCTGTCACATCCGTATCGCGTCCAACTTGCTGACCATTGTAGTTACTTCTCCACCTCCTTACGCCCATACCAACGCCCGAACTCCTACAATTGACCACCATATCGCATCGCATATACACGCTCATCCTACGTATCCTCCATAATCGGCTCACTGCAGCTGCCGAGCTACATTCGCACTCGGTGCTTCTCGAATGTTTCCACCCCTCTGCGAAGCTCACCGAGCCCCCGTACTTCTGTACATACCGATGCACCGATGGCTTGAAGAGTTACGATGATTACAACTCTGCTACAAAGGAGGTTGGCAGACTGGCCGAATACAACAACATGTACTCGCGCTTCAAGCCCCATAGGCGCGATTTGGAAGCGGATGGCAGGAGAGTGAAGCGCCGACCTGGAGACGTACCTGGCAGTCGTACCTTTCCGGGGGCAGTACAGGAGAGATACGAAGGCGAGACCGTGAGACAGACACTTGGGTTAGAGGCGCATGAATTGTTCACGCAGCTGGTTGCGCAGACGAATCTTGTCAAGATCGGTTCTCACAATCTCTTCACCAACTTTGTTGACATTGAAGAAGGTGTACTCCGAGTGTGGAGAGATTGGCTGCGAGACATTGCGGCGAGGGGCTTGACGGCGAATACGGAGGTGCCAAATGAGGTTGTTGAGGAGGTAGGTAAGGGCAAAGAGATCGTAAGAGAGGTGGAGGACGAGAAAGCAGACTTGGACGATCCGTGCATCCTATGGGTTAGTCCGAGGAAGGACAGCGGCATACGTTTCAATGTCAGGGAACGGAAGCTTCGGAGGGACGCTCCGATCCTCATCAGCACAGATGAGGATATGCCAGTTACGTATGAAATTGAGTACGACGGTAAGTCCATGCATCCTCCTTGGTGTTGCAACGCTTGCTGATGTCCGGTAGAGCTCCTCATAAGAACGTCGCATCTCCTCTTAATGCTCGAAAGGTCCATGTCACAGGAGGATAATTCATCTGGTAAAGCGGTTGTCTTCGGATCTTTCGGATAATTCAAGCAGTTCAAACAAATGCACGCCAATTCCAGAAGAGTCATGGTCTAGTTGGGTCCAGATCCTCGGTTCTTGGTGGAGTCACCCCTCCTTGGCGCAATCCGTCAACCACAACGCACCAGGGCATCAACGCATCCCCTCCCAACCAACGGCAAAAAGTATGCATTGTCCCAGGCACCCAGGGGCCCAAAAAAATGACCTCGAGGCGATTCGAACGCCTAACCTTCAGGAGGTTCCAGGAGAACTGGAATCTGACGCGCTACCATTGCGCCACGTGGCCTGATTGGATGGAAAAAATTGTGTCAAACATGCAACTTATACCCAGCATTTTGCTCCCTACACAGCAGCTTGATGAGATGGTCTGCTAATCGCGATGGCATCATACTAGTTACAAGTCTAGTCATCGAGTCCGATCCGCTGTCAGAAAGGCCACGTCTCCAATTCCAACGATCTGTATACGCTAATCCTACAACGTTCCTAGCATTACGCAACGGCTTTCTACCCCACTAGTCCTATTCCCTAGCCCAGCATCTGAAAGATCTAGACCTAGATAGTGTCTCGAGTCCACCGACTACAACTGCCCCACCAGCAAAAGCCTTGTGCCCCCATGCCATACGCACGAGGGACGTTTTGTAACTGCTTCCCTGCACCCAGAGTCAGATTAGGAACATTTCAGTTCGATCACAATTGCTATCACAGTCGAGAATAGTACCGAGGATTCGTTAGGTCAACGATAGTCTTGTAGCCTAGAATCTGCACTAACCAGCCACCCTGTGCGGCGTAAGCCGGACGAACTACGTAAACATTTCGATAACACAATTGTGCAGGGCGCCTTCACAATAACCGATTGTAAATACATCAAGAAGAGGCTAAGAAGCAGAGATTATACTAGGAAACAGTTCGTAACACAGCGAAAACTAAGTAATAGAAACCGGGAGGTTCAGATGAAATTAAGAAGAAGTTCCAGCAGTCTAATAACAGCGTCTCTTATTGTATACCAAATTTTGTGCAACTTCAAGGCTAACACCTCTACAGAACTAGCAGTCAACTTTGCCTGGCACAGCGCAGCTGACGTTTTTATACTGTCTACTCTGCTACTACACCCATCAGCAAACATAACGCCTGCCGCCGCTCATCTTGAACCTATCTTACCTAGAGGCAGCATCTACGGCAGCTACAGAGCTATCCGTTGCGGCTACAGAAGCCTAGCAACTGATGCCGCATTTGCTGCTACTGGCGAGGTACCAGACGCAACCACCGCCCGCCTGCATTCATCCCAGCTTCCTCAGCTGCCGCAACGGCTGCTACTAGGGAGGTACCAGACGCAATCACTACTTGCTTGCCTTTATCTCAGCTTCTTCAGGTGCTGCAGCGGCTGCTACTAGAGAGGTATCAGACGCAATCACCACCCGCCTGCCTTTATCTCAGCTTCCTCAGCTGCCGGATCTGCTACTTCCAGCGAGCTTTCCCCTTTGCTACCAGCACCTATCAGTTGCAACTGCGGCTGCTCGTCTGCCATTACCCTAGCTTTCGCTTTTGCTACCGACACCTATCAAGCGTAACCGCGGCCACTCGCTCCTACTATCACCCCAGCCTTCGCCTTTGCTACCAGCACCGATCAGACGCTACCGCGGCCGCGCGCCTGCCATTACCCCAGCTTTCCCTTTTGCTACCGGCACCGATCAGACGCTACCGCAGCCGCGCGCTCGCTCCTGCTATGCCGGCTTTAACTCGGCCACGGTTAGCTCGGACAGCGAAGAAGGCACTGTCGGCGGACATCCTGAGATATCTAGAGCCTCATGATCAGGACGAAGACCAGGATCAGGACGAAGACCAGGATCAGAGTGAAGACCAGCATCAGGACGAAGACCAGTATCAGAGTGAAGACCGGCATCAGGAAGAAGACCAGCATCAGGACGAAGACCAGTATCAGGACGAAGACCAATATCAAGATCAAGACCAGTATCAAGATGAAGACCAGTATCAGGACGAAGACCAATATCAAGATCAAGACCAGTATCAAGATCACGACTAGCATCAGGATGAAGGCCAGTATCAGGATCAAGACCAGCATCAGGAGCGTACACGGCACAAGCAACATGGTACAAAGAAGCGCAGGTTGGCCACCATCAAAGAGGAGGACACTTTAGGAGATGTGTATGATTTTCAAGAGGGGTCTGATTTAGAAGATGAGTATGCTTCGCAAGATGAGTATGCCTCGCAAGAGGAGCATGAAGTATGGGAGGAGCATGAGAAGCAAGAGGAGCATGAAGTATGGGAGGACCAACGGAAGCGACCTAGGAAGCGGCGTCTTTTCAGGGACCACCAGCCTCTTCAGGTCCAGACGGCTGCCCAGAAGACATCATCAGTGGAGCAGGACGAACTCGACGCAAATGGCTTTCACCTATCAGACTTTGAGGACGAGAGCGATCCGCAGACCATCGGCGCTGAGCGACTTGCATGGTCACCTGTTCACGTCCCCTTCTCCGACGATGCCTTGTTTGACATCACCCTGACTGGCGACGATGTTGTGCGCATGGTCGAAACCGCCTTTCCTGTACTCTCAACATCCAACAAAAGGATGAAAATCTTTTAGGACTCGGTAAGTCCTGTCTGTACGAAAAGCATGTGAAACATATACTGACTTTGCACCTCTACCTCTGCAGCTCAACGAGCACCTCCAGAGCTCACCGCCCTTCAGCATACCTGTCCAAGAGATCAATCCGCATACCTGGCCCTTGACGAACCCTGTTATTGACAGCCTGTGGAATGAAGCAGCCGCTGCGGAGGTTGCGCTTGACATCCCCGACACGTATGGAACAATTATTGTAGCGGAACCTGCACCTCATACGTAAAAAGCTAAACAGGTCTGCAGACTACATTAACCTAAAATCTTTTAAAGTAGGTGACCTAACGTTAACGTAGGCTCTAGGCTGTTTAGCTTTTCCCTAGGTTGGTGTGCCTGCGTCTGGTCACTTCTTCCACTAGTAGATCCTTGGCCTTCTCTCTGGTCTTTGAGATGGACTAAGCCTTTCCGTCTAGGGCCTTGATAGTCAAGAGGATTTAGGTGATGATGTAGCCAGCAAGTTTGCGCTTAACGTCGTCCCTTTTGTAGTACGTCAGGGCATCTGATGGCTTTACATTATTAGCTGCCCTGACTTTCATGATGGCCTTTCGTTGCGTCTCATCAATTCCTGATGTCCTCTCTAAGGTTTTGTCTAAGGAGGCCATGTCCAGTGGAGGCCGCTTGAAATGATCGCTAAGGGTGTTGTTCTTCTTTGCGTCGAAATTCCGGAAAGCCGACATCTTAAGAATGCTGCCCGTGCTCAACTAATAGGCGTACCCGGTTGTTGAGAGGAAGTAAGGCAGGTAGAGTTTACCGAAAAGCTGGACTAGGCAGTAGTCAAATATCCGCTCACGGAATGCAAACTGCCTTTGAATGTCCGTTAGGACAGACGCGCGATTCCTCGAGAAAGCTTCGGGATGTGGGATCGCGAAGGCCAAGCGCCTTATCTTCCTAGCCTCGAACTGCAGCCAAGCTAACGGGATTTCATGCTCGAATCGTTTCTTTCCAAATGTCCACAAGACTGTATGCTCGATCTCATTCTCCTGAATGTAGGTCATGTACGCCTTGGCCGCTATTCCCCCAACGACAAGGAGGACTTTTGCCTCAGAGCAAGATATTATCTTGAAGGCATATTCCTGCCAATGTCTGCGAAGTTGAGTGGGAAGTGTTCCTGCTCGAAAGAGGGTCGCTTCACCACCCGGTACAGTCTTGCGATCTATTCGCCGGGGAAAGACGTCCACATGGAACATCGAATGCTCCCTGATATCAGCGACATGGAAACCCATCTCTGAGTACAAAAGCCACATGGAAGAGTTGGACATATCGTGGTTGGTCCCATAAGCCAAGTGCACAGTTGAGTTGACGTCAGCAGTCGGATATGAGGACAACACCATGAGAGAGTCGTTGGGGCTCCCACAGGATTTGACTAACAACCTCTCTGACATATCAAGCCATGCAAAGTCGTCTGTAGAGTCAACCTGGTGGTCAGGAGGGTGAAGAGCTTTCTCCGCATCGGTAGCTTGGCCCCAGTAGCCATCCATTGCTGTGTTTGTAGTTGGCCATGTCGTCGGATACTCCTCGCGCACTGAGATGGTGAGCGGTGGCGATGTAGACAGGTGCTCACGAGCTGACTGGTAGAAATCCGCCATGGCACTGGTTGCAAGGGCGGGATAGCCGCGTTCTACCATCCTTACGACCTCCTCGCTAGACAGCGTGGTATCCGTTAATTCTTGATCAGTAAAGGGCAGGTAAACCCATAACTCTCGTTCCGCTCTGGCAACTTCTGGGTCTTCAGCAACAGCATTATAGACATCCCATCCATGTAGTTCTTCATTGTTTGGGCGCTGTATTTCCCTAGAGTCTTCTGCATCCGAACTAACTGTGGCCTTAGATATCCTCTTTCTTTTGGCCTGTGTGACCATAGCTCCGGTAGCTCTAGCGACGGGCAAGTACGATGCGCAGCTGATGAAGAGGCAGGCGGCTTGGACCGAGGTCGATGTAACGATAGACAACAGCTTCAACCGGGTCAGTTGCTGCGGCAGCTGATGAAAAGGTAGGCGGCTTGGACTGAGGCAGATGTAAGTAAAGACAGCAGCGGCGACTTAGACTGAGGCCGTCGTGAGTAAAGACAGCAGCTTCGACTGGTGCGGTACAGCATTGACAACGGCGGACGTGGGTGCACGATATCAGTGTAAGCATAGCTGCTATTCTTCTTTTTATTCCAACGATGACTGAAATGAAAAGTCCTACCATGACATGGCTGATGAATCGGTGATGGATAGCCGTGGGTATCTAAACGTGAAATGACCTGGACGCGGCGTAATAGCCATGCGTCGTATGTCGTGTGGTGTTATCCTTATGCCTAAACGCCGAAAATTCCATATGCAAAATCTCCCTCCCTCATCCCATAATTGCTCCGTTATGCAATGCGTTTTGGCATGCTAACAGACCTTCGCCGATCCGCCTACCACCAACGCCGTAGATGTCTCATCCAGAAGACCATGTCGAGCCCTAACATGTCGAGTCTGACAATGCAGGAAACGTTTGACTCGTTAGTTATCTTGAGCGGTCTCAATCTGGGCATATTCCTGCCAGTGGCCATCAGCAGCCCTCTTCCAGGTACGAATGCTAGCGTCATCTCCAGTAGTGACTAGAAGATCACCTGTAATAATTGTTAGTTGTGACTGTGCATGTTCTTCCGGTGTGACTTACCCATCTGCGAGAACGCGACACGCCAAACCGCTCCGTGATGATTGGTAAGCTCATCGGTCATCTCTACCTTCTGCTTGATGCGACCAGGATACTGCTCGTTCTCAATGGAAGTGTCGGGGGCCTTGGAAGCTCCTGCCAGTCCAGCTCCGATACCAGATGGGGCGTTCTGTCGATGGCCTCGAGGAGAGACTGAAAGCGGAGCGGAAGACGATGCTTCTCCAGATGCAGTGTTCCTATCCTCGGTCTGCGTACGAAGCTCATAGATGCGAATAGCGCCGTCTTTGCTAGCTGCGGCCAAGATGTCGTAACCTCGCATAGAACCATTCGCCCAGGCTAGGTCTCGAATGATCTGACGAGCACCCTCTAGCTTCGCAACTTGGAAGAAGCGCTTGGCCTTGTCGGTGCGGAAGACAAGGACATCTTTCATAGCAGCAACAGCGAGGGATAGCGACTTGCGGTCAAGGCCAGCGGTGATGGCGGTCCAACAGGGTAGCTTCTCCTTGTGAAAGACGACCTTGAAGCCTACCTCCTCTTGGCGCTCGGGAGGGTTGTTCTCGGAGACCCAGCGCTCTGCCAGGATAGTCCATTCGTGGAGATTGTTCTGATCCTGGGGCTCGTACACAGTGAGATAGCCGTCGCGGGTGATGAGCGCGAGCCAGGTCTCCTGCATGATGTTCTTGAAGTCCAAAGACATGAACGGCGCGTTGGTCAATGAAGGGAGTACGTAGACCAGCTTGAAGCGGTTGCCAGACATGGCCACCTCGGTGACGTCCTCTTGCCAGATCTTGCAGCGACCATCTTCACCAATACTACCGACAACCTCGCCCATGAAGGGGCCGTTCCACTTGACCTGTACATGAAGTTAGCGACGGGTCACAAAGGTGGCAAAAAGGCATGCAGGTGACCGAAAGAAGATTTGCGGCTGAAGATTAGATAACTTACATCGACAATCTCGGCATCGTGAGCTTTCCAGCTCTCGACCAAGGTCCACGAATCGTCCTTCTTGTCCCAGACCTTGACGCGGTGATCTGAGCTTGCCGTGACCATGCGCGTGCCGAAGTAGTTGAAGTCGACAGCGAGTACGAGGTCCTGGTGGCCATGCGAGAAGGTCTGGAAGCTTCGCTCTGCAGCCATCTCAGCGTAGGCGCGATGCGCACACACAAAGGCCACCTCTAGTTGGTCGATGACGCGCTGCTCGACGCTGCCGGTGCTGCCGTCGGCGCAAGGCTCCTGAATCAGGGGAGCGATTAGATCCACGTGCTCGATCTCGTCTTCGAAAGCGGCGGCGATATTGAGATGCGGTCTCCGTGCAGGCGACCGTGCTTCCTCCTTGGTGGGGCCCAGCGAGGACGAATCGCTGACTGCAGCAGAGGGCAGACGCGACGCTGTCAAGTGCTGGAGGAAACTTCGCGACGCGAGATGACTGCTCACCGCATTCAGACCGTCCAGGAGCTCATCAGCCTTGGCTGAGCGGCTGGCTTGGTTGTGGTCCGCCATGTTGATGCCAATGTTCGTGGGTCTATCGTTTCGGGTTAGCAGAGCAGGAAGAAGCCGAAACAACACCTTGCCAGAATCTCTACTCACCAAACACCGCAACCACGACCTCGTGCAGATTGTACTGCTCTGTTCGTCTCTGGCTCACTCTGCGAGCTTGTTGGTTTCGTTGCTGGAGTCGTGGATCTGTTCACAATCTTTATCTGTCAGTCTCAAGTCCACTTCGAACGATTCACGCAGAGTCACGCTCCGGGTTCAGACAAAGAGGTGGCGATTCGGCAAAACGGCAGGTCGTGACGGCGTTGCTGTGGGGAGGTTGCGCAACCGTTGTTGATATCGTCGCGACAGCAAACGGCCGCGCGGAGTCAACAGCTACAGGCGTCCACGTGCCAAGATCCGCCGTCACCTCGACATCAGACACTATCACTGTCACCATGGCGAGCGCGCTATCATCAACAGAATCAATTTCACTGCTCTCCTTGTCGCTCGCATGTGTCGGTGTGCTGGCCAACACGCTTCACGGTGACGGTGAGCCGCTTGTTGCGTCGATAGCGCTCAGTGGTCTGGCCTTTGCATTCTGTTATGCTTTGATACGATGGCTTGGGGATGCCTTTGCGAAGCGTGGCTTCAAAGGGAAGGATCTATGTAAGCTGAAGCAGATTGAAATGTAAGTGTCAAGTGTACTGTACATGAAAACGATTTACTGACAGGGATAGCCCAGAGATGATGGGCGCGGTCTGTGCTATGGTGTATCTTTTCATCTTGATCTTCTTCATACCATGGCCGTTCTACAAAGACATTGTAGTCGCAACATCAGGCGGCGGTAACCGGGACACGATCAAGGAACTGGAGCTGATTGAGACCGGGAGGCTACTACACAGGTTTCCTCACAACAAGCTTGCGTCCTATCTGTCGGCCATACTTTCCCTCCAGTCTATCGTACTGCTCGGTATTGGTGACGACCTGTTCGACATAAGATGGCGACACAAGGTGCTCATTCCAGCCTTTGCAGTTATTCCCATGCTCGTGGTTTACTTTGTCGACTTTGGTGTGACGCAGATGGTCGTCCCACTACCACTCAGG